GCAAAACCAAACGACCTCTAAACCGATAGCATTTCGACAAACAATAAGAATGACATCAAATCCAACAACAACAACAAAAAGATTATAAAGACCTCACGTGTTTTTCATGTTATTGTCGACTTCTTTTGTTCAGCTGAGACATATAACAGATTTTGCTAGCTTATTCACCTTTTCTTGTTGCTGTGCAAGTGTTCAGCAACTTGACTTGTAAGATTTCTTGCACTGTTCAATGTCTGCACCCCAAGTTGCTGTCTTCATTCATGTGGGGCGCAGTACAATTTTCCACCTTCATCATGTCCACATTTAACGGTGGTAGGCCTCAGTATCGAAGAAGCCGATGAGATGAAGAGCCAACTTTATATCAAAAAACTTTAGTCAAAAGATATGTAATGTCCAGATCACCATGAACAATAAAGGGGAGACCAGAACGAAAGACAAGCCGTTCAGACCTGCAAATTGCTTTGTTCACCTACCATCAGCATCGATTCATGTTTCCCCCACAAAAATAAGAAGAAATATTCACACCTAATTTGTCTCTTTGCATGGATTTGTCACGGCGTCATTGTCGCTATGAAGTGCTGTTGACGGAATGGTTTTCGAGCACACCACCCATATAGACTCCTGTGAGCGTGTATATATGTGCGTGTTGCGCTTCCAGTGGCTGGCGAACGCGCGGGTCGCGGCTCATTTGGTCTGTGAGTTGGAATCGTAAAGTTTTTCTTGAATTCGTCATCCCCAACAAGAAACTATAAAAAAGGAAGGGAGGGCTGATTTCTTCTGGGGTTGAGCTTGGGTTTGCTGCGGTTTGAAGTTGATTTCTGGGCACACGTCAAATTGCTTCTGAAAGTAGAAAATTTTAAAGAAGAGGAGGCTTATCTGCAGGTTCGTGCATGGTGGGCTTTGTTCTGCAATTTCATTTTTTCACTCTTGCTTCATAAAGAAATGTGATAGAATAATGCTTGAGTAGCTTTCAAGCATTGTCAAAAAGCTTGTACTTGAGGGAGGAAAAAAAAGGCCACAAATTCATTTCAATTCTGTCTCATCAACCAAAGGTACTCCTCCTTTTTCTGTGCTTCGATCAAAGAAGGAACAAGGAATTGGCAAGAGTGTTGCTGAGTGAAGAACACCCGAGGCCTCCACAATGATTGTCAGTAGTGCTACTTCAACCTTAGACACGCATTAATGAATATGATGTTTAGTTTGAAATTCTTTCTTCGACCTTTGATTTGATCCATCATGGTCTCCTCGTTCGGCTTTAGTAGGCCAGTCGGAAATCTTTTTCGCTTTCTTTGTTTCTCGTTTGGTTGTCAGGTGAGAAGCTCCATACAAGCTTGTCGCTGAGCTTTGAACGCTCTGTTTCTTTTAGCTGTCTTTCATATGATGCTCAGGACAATGTCCTGTGATGCGATGTCTCCTCTGATCATTATCTGGTTATGGTAATTCATGACCGCGTTTTCTTTCTCTTTTCCTTTCTTCGTCGAACTCTTAATGGTTAGTCACGCATATTGAATATCAGCAATGGCTACATATACCTATTAGAGAGCGCTAAGAAGAAGAATGCTCCGTCGAGTTCTGAGAAATTTCCCTGCTTGCAATTTCAATTTTGATATGTTGGTGTATCTAAAAAGGGTCGAAACTTTGAATTTCAGGAGGCCTTGGTTCCACCATGGGAAGCATCGAGTATCAGGCTTCAACGAAGCAAGATTCTGAGGAGACACTTCCTTCGCTGATCCAAGTTATATCATCTAATGGAATTAAAGGCTTTGACAACGTCGAGGCAAACAATAACCCGCTTGTCGGCCTGTCTGCTCAAGTAAGCCTCCTCCTTTATCCTTCCGAATCAAGCAGCGGCGATCTTGCTCAACTATATGCTGATGATGCCGCAATCTTGATGACTTGAAAGGTTCTTCAATCAAATGATCAATTTAGTCGCTGTAAATAGATAGACTCGTTCCAGTTTTGAGTCTCAGTGATTAGAAATGTACAACCAGATAGAAAGCAGAGGAATTTCTGCTTTTCCTTGAGAAATTGAGAGCATCCGCATCTTGCAGGATCACTCTACTATTTTTTTTTTAATATGCTTTTGTTGACTAAATTTGGAAGTTCGTAACAGATTTGACTGTTGTGCACCAGCAGGACACTGAAGCAGCCTCCTCTGATGATGGATCTGTAGTAATGAGTTGCGAGAGGATGCAGTCCATTTCAATCAGCATGCCACCATCTCCAATGGAAGCCCACCTGCACAACGCAAAGAGGGTTCTCTTCAGCGATCACGGCGACACGATAATAACAAACGGAAACCCAGATCACACTGCCCCTTCGAACATGGACTCCAAGCAGACAAAGTTCCATTCGCAGCCGATGCCAACAGGATCGGCATATAGAGAGGCAGTCAACGGCGGGAATCTCCCCAAACATCCTGGCATCGTGAAGGACAAAAGGTATGATTCGTTCAAAACGTGGTCGGGGAAGCTCGAGAGACAGCTGTCCAATTTACGCGGGAAGCCGCGAGGAGCTCCGAGCGAGGATGGAACAGCACCGAATGCCGAAATTGAAACTTTGCCCGTGGACAGATACTTTGATGCCTTGGAAGGGCCGGAACTGGACACTCTGAGGGTATGTCATTAAAACTGATGAGCTCTGGTGGTCTTATGCTTCGAACCATCTCATTGTTTCACGTACGATCAGGTACAGTTTCTCGAAGTCACTTCGCACTAAATTTGATTTTCACTTGATGTGCAGGCTTCAGAGGAAATAGTCCTTCCGGACGACAAGCGCTGGCCGTTCCTTCTCCGCTTCCCGATCTCTTCATTTGGTATCTGTCTCGGGGTCAGCAGCCAAGCAATCATGTGGAAAACTCTGGCCACCTCTGCCTCCACGAATTTCCTGCACATAAACCTCACAAGCAATCTCATCCTGTGGTGCATATCCGTCACTCTTGTCGCGGTCGTCTCTTCCATATACCTGCTCAAAGTGATCTTCTACTTTGAAGCCGTCCGCCGTGAGTATTACCACCCAATTCGTGTCAATTTCTTCTTCGCCCCGTGGATCGCACTCTTGTTCTTGGCTCAAGGCGTTCCACCTTCAGTTGCTACCAATCTGCACCCAGCTCTTTGGTACATCCTAATGACGCCTATATTCTGTCTCGAGCTCAAGATTTATGGACAGTGGATGTCAGGAGGCCAAAGAAGACTCTCAAAAGTTGCTAATCCTTCGAACCATCTCTCGATCGTCGGGAACTTTGTTGGGGCATTGTTGGGCGCGTCGATGGGGCTAAAAGAGGGTCCTCTATTTTTCTTCGCTGTGGGGTTGGCTCATTACACAGTTTTATTTGTTACACTATACCAAAGACTGCCAACAAATGAGACACTCCCAAAGGAGCTCCACCCGGTGTTCTTTCTCTTCGTGGCGGCTCCAAGTGTGGCTTCGATGGCGTGGGCAAAAATACAAGGATCGTTCGACTACGGTTCAAGGATCGCTTACTTCATAGCTTTATTCCTCTATTTCTCTCTGGTTAGTGTCTGTCGTGATTGATCATCTACTTTGTCTATGGCGATCCCATTTATAAACAACTTATTTCTTTCGTGTTCTTCAGGCAGTTCGAGTCAACTTTTTCCGAGGTTTCAGGTATTATATAGCGCTCAAACACATCTCTGTGCCCTCTCAAGTTATCATCCATCACTAGTAATTCATTCTAGAGCTGATTCAAATTTAATACAGGTTCTCACTGGCATGGTGGGCATACACTTTCCCGATGACTGGTGCCGCCATTGCAACCACTAGGTATGCAAATGAAGTGACAAACGTGGTGACACAAGCGCTGTCAGTCATACTCTCTTCCATTGCCACGCTCACCGTGATGGCTCTGCTAGTCACCACGATCCTGCATGCCTTTGTGCTTCACGACCTTTTCCCCAATGACATTGCCATTGCCATCAGTGAGAGGAAGCCAAAGCCGCATAGGAAGTGGTTTCATTTGAGGCACGGAAGCTCAGACACCAGAGACATTGAGAACTACTTAAAATTTGCTTGCTCCGAGAGCAAGGACATTGAAGCATCTTTAGGACATCCCAGCTCTGATACCGACAGAGAGTGTAAGCTACCGCTGTGAGCGGGGACAACATCATGAATAATCTTACATGCTGATGCCCAAAACCATGAAGATGCTTCAGTAGCCAAATTTTCTATATCGACGCATGCGAGGAATGTGAGTTAGGATTCCAATGAACATGTGTATCGTGGGTAATTCGGGGTTTAATTTGATGAAAACATGAGCCCAGATGAGTTGTAACATGGCCATTTGTTAAGTTGTGTGTCAGTGAAGACAATAATCTGTTGCCCCTTGTACAAGTAAATAGTAAATATATGGTCTTTACATATCTCTACTCTGCTTCCTAGAAGGTGCTGGACTTTCTCATATCACTGTCCTTTTAGTTTCGAAAGAATGATGAATGTGGTTTTTTCAATTCTGTTACGTACATGCAGTCACAAAAACTTGTTACACAATCACCGCTAGACGAATGATGTGTTGGATTCAGAATTAGTCTTTTCACACAAGCTGCCCGCCAAATGATGCTTGTGCAAATTCAGTGGAATTTTCACTAGATGAAGGCTGGTTGTTCATGCTTTTTTTCTTGTTATGTGAATTATCGGTAACCTGATTTTCAGCAATATGATAAGCTCCAAAAGTGCCGTCTCTCTCTTTTTCATGTCTCACCTACTTTAACCCTCCTTATTCATCTATTTAAGCCTCATCAATTGGGGGGAATCTGCCAACAGTTGCAGAGATCATTCAAGACCAACATAAAGCACCAGTCTATATATTCAACTGCTGCATTATGCCTTCCTTTCACCAAATTCTCCTTTTGCTAACTTATGAACTCCTCTTTTTGTCGACCATTCTTGTGACTTGCATCGATGCCACCAAAAGCACCGGTGCAGGTAGTGTGCCGAAGAGAATAGTAAGAAAATTGATCCATCGTAATTCCGTCAAGTCGCCAATGTATAACTCTGTTCATACCGACTTTGACCGTGCCAAGTTCGCTTTCGAAGATTCCATCTCCCGTGTTGCTATAATAGAGGAAAAGATGAAGCGCTGCGAGGTGAACGTGTCGTGCTCAGACAACATTCAAGCTAACCTGCATGCGAAAGCCTGGGTGGGCGTGTTCTTTGTGGAGTTCTATATTAAAGACATGTCTCACCGGATGCTTGCGGTCATGGACACCGGAAGCAACCTTTTGTGGGTTCATTGCATTCCTTGCCCAAATTGTGCTCAAGCCTCCATCCGAATATACAATCCGAGCACATCCTCGACGTATACTAATGTATCGTGCCGGTCAGAATATTGTGAGGCTTTACGCCAAAGCTCCTGTGATCAGCGCGAGAATTGCAAGTATGAGTTGCATTATGAAGGTGCAGCTCCGACAGAAGGAATGCTTGCTACGGAGTCATTCATATTTGACACTTCCGACGATGGACTACTCACTGTACCCAACGTAGTCTTTGGGTGCAGTCACGAGAGCAACGAAAAACCCGATGCGGTCATGGGAGTGCTCGGACTGAACAACAATAAAGTATCTCTAGCTACACAACTAGGTAACAAATTCTCCTATTGTGTTGGAAGGATTAAGGATCCTTCTTATGAATACAACCAACTAATTTTGGGGGAAGGGGCAATTCTTGAAGGCGACTCGACACCCCTAGAGATATATAATGGGTATTATTATGTCACTTTAGAAGGCATAAGTCTAGGAGGAGCTATGCTGGATATTCCTAAAAATACATTCCAGCGAACCGATTCAGGAAAGGGTGGAGTCATGATTGACTCTGGGGGCGAGTTTAGTTTTTTAGTCCAACGAGCATATGAGGAGCTTGCTGCTGCAGTAATGAACATGATTGATTTGAGGTTTTGGTTCAAACCCGAGCTTCATTTCAGCCAGTTATGCTTTGAAGGCAACGTCACTAAGGAAATCAAGGGATTTCCCAGCGTTACTTTTCATTTCAGCGGGGGCGCGGAGCTGGGACTAGAGGCAGAGAGCTTGTTCTCTCAATCAACACCTACTTCTTTCTGCATGACGATTTTGCAAGCGGATTATGAACAGCCCGGTGTGATTGGCGTAGGTGCTCAACAATACCATAATGTTGGATACGACATTTCAGGGAAAAAGCTGTACTTGAGGAGGATGGACTGTGAACTCCTTGACGAATGACAGACTTTAGATTTATTATCTTAAACATTGGCTCGCACAAGTTCACTTCAGGGCATATGGTTTTTTTCTTCTTTCATGTGAAGCATAGTTTGAGGCGTTTCCTTTCTATTACCTTTTCGGCTACTTTTATCTATTTTAATTATGTGGCCACATTTAGTTCTTTGGATGCCATATTGTTATCTTAACTTGTTCTAAGTTTTGTCTTGCTGTCCTAATGCTAGAGAGCGTGAAGTCTACCCTGAAGTGCTTAAGGGTCTCAAAGAATTGAAAGAACAGTTTTCCTTCTTCAATCTGAGTATGCAGTTGATAAAGCAGCTTGCATAAAAGAACTGTCTCGGGCCATTTTATGATTTTGTCAACATTTCATCCTTACATTTGAGGCGAACCATGGTCTTGCTCACTTGATGATCAGGTCTGGTACACTGCTCGCCACGCCAGTGCATTTCCCCCACTTTTCTCATACACATTGCACAAAGTATAAGAACAGCGTTCTCTGATAACAGATGTCACATAGGCAGAAAAAAATTCAATATCAGAGTAAAATACAGAAATCCTTTCAGGAGTTTTGACCAGATATTTGGTCATTCGTTTGATCTATACGGAATATGACAAGCCATGCCTGGCACAGAGATGCTAAGACTTCGCACTAGAATTTGCTTGCTAAATGTTGTGGCCTTTCTAGATATTTAAACAAGAGAGGCCCATGCAAAATCGATTGGCCTATATATGCATCCAATGTGATTTTGACTAAACACTTATTGAATAATATTACAAAATTCAAGCAAAACTCTCAGTACATCTAACATTTGTACTATGCATAAAGCTATCAATCATCTAAGTCTTCAAAAAATCTTGCAGTTGGCCAGCAGTGCAATGCGATCAGTGTGAAGAGACGAATGACAGCATTCGAGGCCTTAGAAATATGTCACTATTACTCTCCGATAACATCAGATTCAGAAAAATTACCTGTAACTGGCTCAATTATTTATCTTACCGTATTATATGGTTAGCATAGATACAGTTCTTGACTGCACTTAGCTGCAGCTAGTGAGACATGAAAGTGGTTTGTGGAGGCAAGCAGGACAACACATGGTTGTAGTGAATTCATTCAAATGTGGCAAAATAGAAGCTACATTATTAGTGTTGAGATACACATGTGAGTTATGTTAGAGAAGTCCCACATCGGATAATTGTTATTCTGTTGAGCAGTTAATATATCTTAATTGGCCCATAACTCATTAGCTTAAGCTTTTAAGTGAAGGTGAATCCAACTGGATATGTTGACGGACTTGGACTTGAGCTCTCTCTTGGCATGAAGGAATCAAGCTTCTACTGTGCACTCCCAACAAATTGGTATCAGAACCTAGCTTTGCTGAGTTAAAGCGAATCGATGGCGACAGAAGAAGGAAAAGTGAAAATTGACAGATTTGACAGGAAAGATTTTGGTTTCTGGAAGATGCAGATTGAGGATCATCTATATCAGATGAAATTGCACTTGCCCCTGTATGGAGAGAAGCTAAAGACGATGAAGCAAGCTGATTGGGAATTGCTGAACGATGAAGCAAGCTAATTGGGAATTGCTGGATAGACGAGCTTTGGGTGTTATTTGACTGATGTTGGCTCGTAACATCGCGAAGCCCTGTTGGACATGTATAAGAAGCCTTTTGCGATCAACAAGGTCAAATTGATGCGACGTCTGTTTAACTTGAAGATAAGCGAATGTGCGTCAGTTGCTAATCATATCAATGAATTCAATGTGATCGTTAGTCAATTGAGTTCAGTTGATATTGACTTTAAAGATGAGGTATGTGCTTTGATTATATTATCCTCATTGCCTGATAGTTGGAATAGTACTGTTACTGCTGTTAATAATTCCTCTTGGTCAACAAGTTTGACGTTTGATGGTATTCGAGATTTAATTTTGAGTGAAGACATCCATAAAAGAAAATCTGGTGAACATATATCTACTGCTTTAGTAGGTGAAAGAAGGGGAAGAACTGGTATACGTGTTAGCAAAAGTGATATAAATATGAATAAAAAAAGTCAGTCTATGACTGATGGTGCCGTCTATTGGAATTGTGGCAAGAGGGGGCATCTTAGAAGGGACTTCCTTAAGCTGAAAAACGACAAGGGTAAAGGAATTAGAGTTGAGTTTGCAGATGATATTGCAGTTATAGTAGACAGTAATTCGGATAGTGCTGATTATGTCTTGTCTGTCACTGATGATTCGTCGTTTGGCAGATGGATTATAGATTTTGGTTGTTCATTTCACGTTACACCAAACAGGAACTGGTTTACTACTTATCAGTGCACGGATACTAGTAAAGTCCAGTTGGGGAACAATGCGAAATGCGATGTTGTAGGTATTGGTGATGTTAGAATTAGAATGCCTGATGGTATTATGAGGACATTGACTGGAGTAAGGCATGTTCCAGAGCTGAAGAAAAATCTGATTTCCTCGAGTACCCTGGATTCATCTGGGTGTCGGTATACTTCAGAATGTGGAATTTTGAAAATTGTTAGAGGTGCCTTAGTGATAATGAAAGGAATCAAGCACATCGGCCTGTATAAGCTTTAAGGTAAGACAATGATGAAATTCGCTGCAGAGACGTCGAATGCATCGATTCGAGAGTTTGAATTGTGGCATACGCGTTTGGGGCACATTAGCGAGAAAAGCCTGAAGGTTCTAAGTGAAAGAAATTTGCTATGTGGTTATGTTGCTGACGAATTGAATGTATGCAGATTCTGTGATTTAGATCAATGGCGGAAAGTGCAGTTCAGTACGACCGTCAAAGAAATCACGGAAATTGCAGAATTAATTCACTTAGATGTTCGCAGGTTGTCGCGGTTTCCTTCGAGGAAGAGTGCTAGATTTATACTAACAGTTGTTGATGACTACTCGAGGAAAACTTGGGTGTTTGTGTTTAGGCACAAGTTTGATGCTGTTGTCAGGATCCGGCAGTTAAAAGCTTTGATCAAAAAGGAAACTGATAAGAAGATCAAGCAGGTATGGACTGACAATAGTAAGGAGTTTTGCTCAAAGCTGTTAAATAAATTCTGCATGAAGGAAAGCATGGTGAGACACCGCACTAGCGCCAATGAACCACAACATGTTGCAGAGTTGATGAGTAGAACATTACTAGAGACAGCCCATAAAATGCTCTTTAATGCTGGTATGGCTAGGTGATTCCTGGCGGATGCGCTCAGTACGACGAGCTATCTGAAGAATAGATCTCAATCGACTGCGATTGAATGTCGGACTCCCGAAGAAGTGAAGGTGGATCCATAACTCATTGGCTTAAGTTTTTAAGTAAAAGCGGGTCCAACTGAATATGTTGACGGGCTCGGACTAGAACTTCCTTTTGGCGATCTCTTCAGATAAAGGTATCAGGCTTTTGCTATGTCTTCCAATAATTAACAACAATTTGTTTGTATTCATAGGGTCAAACATTGCATAAATGATAATTCAAAAGAACAATGCCACGAATCAGACGTCCTGCTCAAAGTTGTACTTCTCTGAAGCTTCTGATTGTTCTTCACTGTTGGACAGATAATCGATCTGCGTTGTTCTTTACTATAGCATGTGCATGCATTTCTTCCCTTAGCCATTCTGACATGGCATTTGCAATGTCTTAAGTTTCCAATTCATCGTCTCTCCTATGATTTTTTGGCCTTCACCATGATCCGAAAGAGGTTCATGCTTTTGTCTGAGAGCAACGACACTGCAAATTGATGAATCCAAAAGTATGACAATAATGCAGGTGGAGCGAAGAATTGTCTTTGGCCCCAATTAAGAAGCTTTACGTTGTCTGTGCACAAAAGGTTCATTTTCCAAATAGTTGTTTGATTCCGTCCGTTCCCGACCAGCTTACACGCGCCTCCTTTGTGAACGAATGTCCTTTTTGTTGGATATTTCAGCATTTTTTAAATATTTATTATAATTTATGATAGCCATAAAGTCATTATTTTGTAACTGTTTTGCCAGGGCGTATAACGGCTTTCTAACGGCTTTATAACATTTGATTTAATTGTTCTTAAACCCTCTATTATTTTACAACAATTTTTAACGACTCTCTTCCTTGTACCTATAAATTGTTACTTTGAGCATAATTGGAAAGTAATAGATAGTTATCTATACATATATATACATATGAAATAAAGAATATTCGTTGTTCATTCTTTTATCTATTTTTCCTTTCTTTGCTGGGTTATACACATAACGTTGTTCCTGTTTCCTTCAAATATTCAGTGCGGAGTATAGAAAAAATTCTGTTGTATCTTGGGAGGATAGCCGCTAGAGCTTTACGCACCGAGTTTCGTACTTCGAGGGGCGAAATTATCCTTAAGGACAGTACTTGCACGCCTCAAACATTTTGATATTATTTTCTCATCTTTTCAATAGATTTTCAATGCTTCTCATTTTTCATGTTATCAAACAATATTTCCAACACTTTTTTCGTATGTCTTTTCAGATCTATGTCCTTCAACATCTTCCAAGCCTCATAACAACTCATTTATATGGACCCTCTTTCTTGTGCAATGAATCGCCGCCGTACAGTGTCTATTCCTCTGGAGAAAGGGAAGTGAGTTTCCTAAGGCTGCGTATGGCAACCATTTTGTGCCCGGGAACAGATTCTGCTAAAAAATGATTCTTTTTTATTCCGTGCCCGGGAACAATTTCTAAGCATTTGAAGGCGTTTGGTAACTGCCCAAAATTTCTAATCTTAGAATAGAAAGAGAACAGAAATACGTTTGGTAACTACACAAAATTTCTTTTTATTAATAATATTTTAAATTTATTTATTTATTTCTTTTTTTTTCCTTTTTTCCTTTTTTTTTTCTTTTTTTTTCCTTGGCCATGGCCGGTTGCCGGCGATCGGCAACAGGCCAAGGCCGGCGAGGGCATCGCGACCCTTGCCGTCGGCCTCGCCGTCGCCACCCCCAGCAACGGCGAGGTCAGCCTCGCTAAACCACGGCGAGGTCGAGTGTGACATTCTGAA